TCCTTTTTGTCCCTTCCTTCCTTAGAACGTTGATCAATTCGTTGGTTGGCCGAGTGCTGTGGCGCAGGTAAGCCTTTCCTACCTTTCTGCATTTTGCGGGAAATTGAGGATACCGTGTTGAAGGAAAGCTTGTAATTGGCGATTGTGTCAATCCAGTAGGCTGTCGTCTGACAGCTTCTGGGCTGAGTATGCATTCTCCGCCTAAGCAACTTACTCATTGGGGTTCCGCTAGGCCCTACCCTAAAGTCCGGTTTTTAGCGGCGTTGTTGTCCACATCTGCTCTTTGTTCATAACCGCCGGAAGCAATGAGGCGAGTTGACGATATTTGCCGTGACGAACCACCCATTTAAAGGTGCAAATGAGCTGACGGAATTTGCTGAGTCGCACTTAAGTAGTACCTACCCATCGAGGACCATCCCGCCGTCTTATCAGTCCGACATCCCAGTACAGTATTGAAAAAGGAGATTATATGTCAGAGAGACGTCAGTCCTTCAGATGAGTTCGATCGCGAAATGTGTGGGGAAATCGAAATAGTATTTTTAGTCATCTGCAACCAATGATACCTTAAATGCCAGTTGTTGTTGTCAAACCCAAAGTTTGTACCTGCGTCAGTTGACCACCGAACGAGGCCCTCATCATCATTATCATGATTCCACAATGGTTTTATATCGTGCAGACTGCGCTCAAGAATTTTAGATCATGTGAGAGAGTAACGTGCACAGATCTGAGGAAATGGAGATGCTCACACCGGACCAGATTTATCTTGAATGGTCGGCTCCCCATTCTCAAAACATGTAATGCCAAACTATCCATCAGAACTGTACTAGAGTTGCCGAATCGGTCGGCGTCGAACTGATCGGCAGTTTCTCCTTCGCTGTCTTGCCCCTTTGATGGTTATTTGGATAGGGCTTTACGGCCGCTGGCGTGTCACGTATCGTTGTCTCGATTGAGGATGCTCGAAAGTCTGCCTCCTTCTCCTGCTCGGCTGCTTAAGTGGCCATCTTGTCCCGGTCTTTATGTATGTTATGACACAAGAAAGTCTAATGCCTGTTACTGCAGTTGAAGTCACAAGCGTAAGCCTTTCTGCCTTTGACGTGCGTTTTGGTGTACGATGGTCGCTCCTTGAATTTCAGTAGTATGGCTCTTCATTTAAATGTCTGATTGATCTTCGGCATTGTACGCTTTGTGAATGGAGAGCCGATCAAGCTCTTTGAAACACTACCCACAAGCTAATTATACTCCAGTGAGAAACTCTAGTTTGTCAGATGATCAGCCCGAAACTCTCGACTTCATAAACCTCGCTGCACAGATCTATTCGCGTTGTCAGAGGGAGCATAGGCATTTCCGTTTTCCCGTTATCCGGCTTCTTATACAGAAGGTTAGAGTTTTGTCCCGATTTCATCACATTATCCCATTCACCGATTTCATCTGAACTCTCTTCATGATATCGTTTTGCGTTGTTTACTTATTGTGCATGCAGTCTTTCAATGAAACAAATTGTTATATTTCCCGCCGACTTGTTCTGTCATGGCTTTTCAACTTTTTCTATAGCGTATGGCACCAACTGGTCCACCGCCCGCCTACACTGCCGATCAGGTAGGATCTGCCTGTCGTTTTTTGCTGAATGCTTTTAAAGCCAACTTCTGGTCTTGTGAATGACTGTTTCTGCTGTATTTTTTGGTCGTAGTCAACTCATTGAGTTTCTCGCATTTTAAACTGCGAATGCTTGTTGTTTTCTCAAAAATTGCGGTTTTGATTGTCATGTTCTCCCTATATATGCCCACACGTAGCTGTCCACTCCCCCATTTTTAAAAGAACATTGGAGAAACGGTGTCTTACCTTCATTGGGCCCTATTTCTCCGTCCTTTGATCAGAACAATCCATTTGCTGAATGCACGTCCAGCAATGACAAGACTACTTACGTCTTTTGTCCGACCAGCACAGAAAGGTCGACCTTAGGCCTTTGAGTGTTCGAGACTTCTTTAAGATGGCAATGATGCTACGATGTATTTTATGGCATGGCCTCATCATGGCGAAGCTTTTTGGAATTTTATAATCTATCACGTTGGAACCTTAAAGTTTTCTAATCTGGTGTTTCAAGACAAGTACTTATTTCATGGTACTGTCGCCGTTGAAACGGGCAGTCGTCAGGAGGCAGCAATACTTGAACCAACCTCACTGACATGTGCACGAAAGTAATCTCTTTTACCACTCTGTTTTGGCCTAAGAGCATGGTGGTGGGAAAATCATACGCGTTTGATAGACCGTTAGTTTGCCTGTGTTTGTGGCGCCATGCGTTGAACGGTTTCTAAATGGTTCATGTACACACGAACATCCGGTTTTTGACAGTCCGATAGTTCTACCGGGAGCTTGAGCAAGCTGAAGGCAAACGCGGTGACTGACACTGGATTAGAGGAGAAACAGACTCGCACAGAATCTACCCCATTGCCTCCCCACCCCCGTACCTGTATCCGGTGTCAAGAAAAAGTCTAGAAAATCGGTGAAGAGGGAGGGCGCAGATGGCTGGTGCGGCCGCCGGTCCTATTCGGGCCACAACGACTCACCTTTCTAGGTAAGCTCTCGCGT